CACTGCCACCTGCTGAAATATCTCCACGTTATTGCTTTTCTTCGTGTCATTTGATTCACTGCAATAAAAAAAAATCTATTAACTGGGTGTGAAAATAAACCCATCCATTCACACCTATATGATTTCAAAACGGATCAAATAAGAGCAGATAATTTTCCTTGTGCAGTTGTTCTATAGCAACTGTTCTGTATTTTTTTCACCATCAGAACACAAGAATCTTTTTTAAAAAAAAACGAAAATAGTCTCTTTCTCATGCTGGCTTTTGTTTATGAAACAAATAATTTACCCAGTCTGGTTTAAAGTATGACAACACAAATAGCTGAACTGGCATAACTCCAGAGTAGAAAACCTCTGACAGAGCAAGACTGAACCTGCTAGAGCTGAGGGAGGAGAGACACCTCATAAATTTGGTCTGCCAATTGTCACATGGCACCACAACTCTAAGCTCTGGAAACAACCCCTGCCTTGTCTCAGTTTGAGGAATAACCTGTGCCAGTTGTTTAATGAAGGCAATTGAACTTATCAACATTTAATGAAATAAACATAAAAAGCATCCAGTGTACGTGAACGACCATGAAAATGCTGTAATGGTGTTGCTACAACGTGAACTGCAGATTTCTACTGGACATCAGGGTTCAGTTTCATAGCTTCATAGTATGTTAAGGGCCTGGAATGGACCTTAGAGATCATCCATTCCCAACCCTCTGCCCTGGCCAGGGACATCTGCCCAATAGACCAGGTTGCTCAAGGCTTCATCCAACCTGGCTTTGAACACTGCCAGAGTTGGGGCTTCTACTACTTCCCTGGGCAACCTGTGCCAGTGTCTCACCACCCTCAGAATAAAATCACATTTCTATCTAGGGAAGATCCAGCAATCCAAGGGTCTTGTCTGAAACCACCACAGCAGGACCTGTGAATCTCACACAGAGACATGCAAACCTCACTGTAGCTTTCTAGGCATGAAATACTATTATTATCCCTTCTTTAGAGATGAAGCACTGAGACTCAGAGAATATAAACAATTTAGCCATCACGACATGGGGACTGCTAAACCATATGCTGGTTCTTAGAAAATGGATGCACTCTTTCTGTTGCCTGTTTTCTTCTACTTCTTAAAAGAGGTAATGTTAATTTTAGTATTATTAACTAGCTTTAACCATTAGATGGTCTTTGCTGTCCTAAAAGGTTCACCTTAAAATCTCTTTCTCAGCCAAGAAAAGACAGAGAAGCTTTTACTCTACACTATAAATGCTTTTATTCCTGCCTGAATAAAATTAAAACATCTGACCTTCTTTCAGGATCAACCATCCATTCTCCTTCCCACTCCCAGCCCTTTGGGGGTAGAAAGTATTCTCTCTTCAGTTTGATTTTTCCTGTGACATCAGAAAACTTGTGGCGACCAACAAGTCCTGAGGTGCCCCACTTTCCAAAAAGGAGAGCCTGATTTTCATACTGTGTGAGAAGAAAGTGAAAACCAAATTGTTACAAACTGGAGATATTTATTTAACTGTTACACACCTAACATTCTATTATACATTTCCTTTCTCTGAAATTAAGCACTCCCTTTCCACATTACTCTGCAATGTCATCACTAATTTCTTTCTTGCATTTTCTTCTATGCTGCCTGGTAAACAATGAATTCCCTGCTAAACTAATCTCAGTTTAATGCCTCTCTACAACTACAGTCAAACTTTCTCAAAATTAAATCTCTTAAATACAATTCCATTACATTATTCAGTTTTTTTCTGTGCACTAAATGCATAATTCTGTCATTCTTTTCCATCTCAAATCTCCTCCTATTTAAAATCTCTTCTTTTGCAACATGTAAAACTGAATTACAGTCTTACCATAGTAGCTACCAGGGGCATGATTCTGATGTCAGCCCAGTTTAGAGAGTCTATTTACCTTCCTGGGATTATTTGTGGTTTATGATGGTCTTGAGCTTTCTGCTCTTATTCCTGTAAAATTGCTGGATTTCTCTATGAAGAGCAAAAAATGAGATATTCAATAGCCTCTTAAACTCTACACTTAAATAATGGCTTTGAACACTCATTGCCTTAAGTGACTTATTACAGCACTACTAAATATTTAAGCACAGGTGCAATGGTGACACCATTGTAAAAATGTCATGTTCCATTAGCTGGTTTACTGACATTGGATTCTATGCACCATTAGGTGATGTGGCATGTGAAAGACACCTGCTCTTCCCATTTCTATTTAAAATCTCTATTATATGCTGAGAGACTATTTTGAGGATTTTTATGCTGAATTTGTTAACTCTTACCATTGAAATGTTACCATATTATAGATTTTTGTCAGCAAAATCTACTGGTTTTGACCAGTCCTTCCAGTAACAGTAAATTTTCTACTGCTACAAAAGAACCATTATTAAGTAAAACCACTTGTATCCAAGTATAATTTGTAGAAGTGAAGAAGCAATTAAATGAAAAGTGTTATTCACATGCCAAAACATAATGGTCTAGATCCCAATCTTAATTACACTGATAACAATCTAAAATAAATATCTTTGAAATCACTGGAGTTAGCCAGATTTCAACCTGATTAACCAGTTCAGAATCTGGTCTGGTGAAGTTCATTTCGTAGGCACAATGGACTTGATCATTAATTGCCTTGAATGAGGTCTACTTGTTTCCTTATAATAAATACTACTCTCCCTTTCTGTCCAGCATGCAAAAAAATTCAAAACAGCTCAACCTGCATTGAATTCATCACACTCATGTCCAAGTTTAAAGTAAGAAAGCAATGATGGACATACCATTTCTGCAAAAACACTGAATGTTCCCTCTGCAAAACTGTTAAACTTCTTCTCAACTGCACTGAGCCCAAGCCAAATGTTGATTCGCAACTCTGCAGGCATTTTGACATCTTTAGTCTTGTCCTGTGGGTACTGGCACACCAACAAAAATGTCATTCTTCGTTATGTTCTGCAGGTATTGTAGCATTCAGTAAAATATATACAACAACAGAGATACAAGTAATAATACATGATTTCATGATTTATTTATCTCTTCCTGTACTGCTTTTTCTCAAAAGTCAGTAATAAATAGTTCAGGAAGGAAACATTCTTTAAATGATACCTCCCTAGGCCACATAAAAACCAAACATAGTTAACAGTAGTATCATCCCTGTTTCTGTATATTTTCTCCCAAAGTTTCAATGAGAAAGGACTTTTTAATTTGGACAATAACTTAAAACTTCGGTTGATGTTCAAGTTTCCCGTCAGGAGACTCTGGGAATCCAGAGGTTAGTCAGAATGGTTCACCAAATGAGGAATCAATGCATGATAAGGGGCTTGCATAAAACCATGAAGATATAGGCTTGTCTGCATTGAAGCATTAATCAATATAACTACTAGTACATTGAAAAACTATGTGCTACTGTTATACAGTCAGATTGATTTTTTCTGATTAAGTTTATTTCAATTGAAGACAATAGAAACTTAAATGGAGAAAGACATTCTTGTTCCAGAGTAAAACTCAATTCAGAGAGACATAACTCCTGGTGAAGACATGCTCTGTATTACTTACAGAAAACCATCCAAAACTTTGAATAGGTTTTGGAACTTCTCTGATTTACACTTATTCCCTCTGAAAATCTGCACTCATGTCCAAGTCCAAAATACAATTCCAGCAACACTTTAAAAGTCCTATCACAATTCTGAGCTCTTTTAGAGAAGTCTCTATTGGTTAGAACCAGCCAATATTGGTTCTAACTGGCTAATGATGAACTTATAATTTCTGTGATATTTTGAAGCTATATGCAGTTGGCTTTTACTCTGTCCTGAGTTTTGACACCTCATTGTTTACAGTTCATTGGCATGTTTCATGCTCATGTCAGGAGGCATCTCCATTTAGGGAGTTAATTATTTCTTAAGAAGAAAAAAAGTACCTTTAAGAAGATCGTTTGGGTCTTTCCACAATATTTACCAGATGATTCAGGGCTTGTTGTGGAATACAGCACTTGGTGTGCAGGAACACGAGCATAGGCCAGTCTCTTCTCCCCTCGGATCATCCATATGATTACATCAGGCATACTGTTCTGTGGCTGCAGGTTATTTGTGGGGAAAAGAAAGTTCAGAACAATAACTAACAAAACATTAAACTAATCTAGTGATTAGAAAACAGAAACATAAATTAGGATTCATGTCAAAGGATTTATCACTTAGAATCAACAATTACCACAAATTTATCATAAACAGAGGAAAGCAAGCAAAGCAATATATAGTTCTGAAACAATCACAAAAAATACCATTGAGATTGTTGGAAAGCAAGTAAGTTTTATTAAAAAAAAAACAGGTTTTATAGCTTTTGTAAATTTTTCTGGAGATATTTTGCATCTCAATTCATTTATGGCAATACAGTGACTGATCCCAAATGCTAATGCTTTGGATTGACCTGCTGCATATCTAAGTGCTTGTAATGCTTCCATGTTAAGGGTATGTCATCATAAGACTCAGCAGAAGATAGAAACTGCCTATTATCTTATTGCAGTTTTGTGCACACCTTAGTATGCTACTGGTAAGTCTGGCAAATTAACTGTTTGAGCTTTTATAATCACTAAGTTTTCAGAGCAGAAGTAACAAATTAAATATAAAAACATTTCTACAATGTTGTGAAAAACAATTATGAGATGAAAACAGAGAATGTTGATGAAAACTTAAAAACCACAGAAACAAGCAGATTTAACTCTGTAAGAAGCTGATTACTGTGGCTAACAAGCTGTGGAAGTACAACATGTATCCTGCAGTCCCTGAACCAGCAATGTGACTTGCACTTCTGGAAGAATGGAAAGGAGAAAATACTGACATTTTAAACAGAATAGAGTCTGTTCTGCAAGCCCAAGAGAGGTCACTGCCCAACACACATTCTCAGTGGAGATCATTAACACATGAGAACATTATATTTAAGTAAATCCTAATTACTAAGGGGAACATGTTTACTTTCACATCAGCTACAATTACTGTTCTAAGGAGAGTAGATATTGCTTGATCAGCAGTGAACTGTACACCCACGTGTGTTAGAGATCTATTGCCAAACTAACTGAATCACCTCTATTGTGTAGTACTAACCTCTTCACTCAGCTGCAGTAATTTCTCCAACCAATCCTCAATTTCTGTCAGAGTGGCTTTCACATCAGTAGCTTCATTTCTCATCCTTGCTGCTGCTTCTCCAATCTGTTTGAGAGACTTGAGGCGCAGCTTTTCTATCTGAGTGTCCAGGACTGTAATATTACATTTGCCTTCTATGAGGGGAAATGGTTTACTGAAAAGAGAATATTTATTATGGTTAATAATCCAAGTGGATTTTATTTAGCCACACACTAAATGCAACAGATTGAGTGCCATTGTTTCCTGTGATTGAAAACCACTGGAATAGTGCTACAGCATCTATTTCTGCAGAGATTTGCACCTGACAATGTGTTTACAGTAAGCAAGGGAAATGCTGTACTTACACAACAAGCACCAAGGTAGAACAGCTTGATGTGTTTGCTATAATGCAATTGCTGCTAACCAAACCAAACAAAATCCAATTCCCTATCTGTTCACATTAAAAACCTATTGCCTCAGAATGTACATCTTAAAAATGAAATGAGTTCCTTCAGACCAAGAGAGGTTCCTTTCCTTCACTGGAAACATTCTCAAAACTCAATATACAAATATGGCTTGTGTTTGCAACTAGACTTACCTAACCCTCCGGTGTGAAAACATCAAATAACTCTAAAAGAAATCCATGACACACAACTTCTCAGTCACCAGAGGGCAGAGTAACTAGTCAATGGAACCAAGAAATCATAGACTCATAGAATATCCTGAGCTGGATCCACAAGGATCACTGAGTCCAACTCCTGGCTCTGCACAGGATAACCCTCAAAAATCACACCATGTGACAGAGTGTTGTCCCATTCTGTAGCATCACAGTAAAACTCAGGGGGAAAAAGAGCTTTTTGAGTTGGAGGAGATTTGAGGAAAAAGCAGCTTTTCTAAGACCAATGACTGTATCTCTTGAACAGCGTTCATTAAGAGCTCTTTAATATACTTTCAAAAAACAGTTAAAAAATTTCCAAAGACACTGCCTAGTTTGAAAAGACTGACTCTACCCTGACCTACTTTTCATAACATGCTGAGCACTTCTATGGGTTTTGATTCTGTAAAACCTTGATATTGGCTATTGTGTCTTCCACTGCAGTTAGTTCTACTAATCTGAATGCAAGTGCTGCCTGCCCTGGCCGAAAATACTTAGACATGAATCAAATGTTCCAGATCAGAGCTTCCAGAAAATCACCATGTTTTAGGTTTCACTAGTGCACTGAAAACTCTCTCTGAAGACTCCTAACTCGTTTAAACTTTAGCATGACAAGGAGAAATATTCTATGAATTCAACACAGGGAATTATGTCTTTGACAGAGATTTTATGAGTTTGCTGGAAAAAAAGCCAAAAAGAGAATTGTATCCCACGAACAACATGAAGCTCATTTGGTGGATATATCTAGGTGCTATTACTCCATAATTGTTGACAGATATTTTATAGACTGAATTAGTAACAGTGCAGGTATGTGTCAGGATGATGAGTTGACCTGACATTCCCACACTCACTAAATGGTTCCATGTGACAATAGTTTGTCCTTTGTGTTTTCTTTTCCTAAAGTATTTCCTAAAGTAGTTCTTTCTCTCTGCTTTCTTCCAGATCACAGCAGTTACTAGTTTATATTTTACCATAATCTTTCTATCATATAATTATAGTATATAATATATACTGATCTCCACTGTTTGCCTTTTCCTCTGTTGACTTTCATATTGGCTCTCCAACTTGATTAATTTGTTCTCTGATTTTATGTTCTCTGTTATTTCCTCTTCTGGATAATAACTGCTCTGACATTTTTCCTTTCCTTTTCCTGTGCTGTTTCATCACCCACTAGTTTACTCTCACCACCTCAATATCTCCTTCTGTTAATGTCTCTTTCTCATACAATTCCTTCCTCTCTATTTAGAATTTACTCTTATCAAAACCCTAATTGATGACTCATAGAATCACAGAATCAGTTAGGTGGAAAGGGACCACGGTGGGTCATTTAGTCCACCCTCCCTGCCCAACCAAGACTCCTATTGCCTTCTCTGAACACTCCCATACATACAGACATGTTGACTAAAGGATTATTCAAAATTACAATCTTTATGGCCCTTAATCTCTGAATAGCTTTTGGTTTTATTATTTTGGGCTTATCAGTAAATCACAGAATTTCTTCCCTCTTCAGTTTCAGAAGTAACATTGAAACCAAAAGGTACAAGAGGAGATGAGATGGTAGAAATGCAGCAGAGAGCCATAATTTTCTATATTCAGACCAGTCCTGCCTTAGAATTTTTCAAGAGATGCTGTTTTATCACTACCAGTAATAAAACTGTCCTGAGATAAAGGAGAATTACAAAACTAGATGGATGACTTCAGTGGCAATATCCATGATGTTTTACTACTTTCAGAGACTTTTGGAATTCCAGCTCTTAGGTCAGTTCACACAAATAGTCAGTTTTATAGTCCTTAGAATTTGTTTTCTGACTTAGCAAAGATGATAGCAAAGATTCTGAGCAGGACTACAATGATAACATAAGAGATTAAAAAGGTACTTTTACCTTATGTCTTCTGTAAGTTCATCAATCAGCTTCAACCACATCTCAGCTAATCGGTTCTCAGAAATTTTAGCCTGCATTCCTGATTTTAAGGTGGCTAAGTTGGATTGCTGAGGAATTTAAAAGAAAAGGATTTGCACTTATAAACTTCCATTCTGGTTTACAGTCAAGAGGAGTTTCAAGGTTTTAATCATATTTATTTGTCTGTGTAAAGCCCAAATAAAAACAAAAAGACTCAAATGTTCAAACTTGATTCATATTTAACAGGACAATTTGGATGTTCTTCCTCACTGTATTCAACAATACATGATATTGCTCCTAACTTCCAAAGCAAGTAAAAGTTCCACAGAGTTAACATGCCACTAACCAAGGACTCTTCCTTCCTGTGGGAATTCCCTGCAGATTGAAGCAGGAAT